GGATGATAATGAAGAGGAACCAGGCCATTCTCCCATCTATCCTGGTCGAAAGAATACTTACTCTGGCCTGAAGCGACCCTTCCTCCTATGAATTTATGATCTGTATTCATAGTTAATATTTCACTGGAATGCACTGCGCCCAGGTCAATAGTTGTTTACGGCTAGTATCAACCTGATCAGCTGGGCATCCATTCTCCTTGGTTGGTGCCTATTATGGACACACCCTAAGGGGACCCCCTACCCCATGAGTCCTTTATAATCCCCCGCCCACTTTGAGTGACTGCAGGACCTATGACCTGCTTCAAACTAACAGAGTAGGACAAAGGTGATGGGATCTCACACCTAGGACTCCTGATGACTTTGCAGAAGCCTTCTGTCATGAGAGGAGCAATGGGGAAGGCCACCAGTGTGGAGCTGTGTGTGGCCCCCATGGAGCTGAAAGAGGCTCCCCAGTCAAGAGGTGGAAAAAATACAGGGTCCTGAGTCCCAACATGGCAAGGAAATGAATTCTGCCAACAACCGGAATGAGCCTGAAAGAAGATCTTCCCGTAGTTGAGCCTCCAAATGAGAACACGGTCTGGCTGATGTCATGAGACCCTGAGCAGAGGACCCAGCCCAGCTATGCCAGGACTCCTGACCCCTGGGGACTGTGAGTGAATGACCATGCTTTGTTTTAAGCCCCTACATTTGTGATCTTTTGTTGCACAGCCAAAGAGAACTAATTCAACACAGATGCCATGCCAGGAGTTGAATAATTGGTTATCATCACTACCTGTTTCATTGCACAATCAGCTATACACTTCTGCGTGATGCAGAAACACTAGACCTAGCGTTGTAACTATAGCTTCCAGCAAGTGTGACTTTTCCTAACTAGCTTTAAGTCTCTTGAGGCCAAGAACTCTGCTTTTGTACTTTTTAAAAGATTTTGTTTATTTGAGAGAGAGAGAGCGCGCACGCAAGCCCTTGAGCAGGGGGAGGGGCAGAGGAAGAGGGAGAAGCAGGCTCTCCACTGAGCAGGGAGCCTGATGCAGGACTCGATCCCAGGATCCTGGGATCATGACCTGAGCCGAAGGCAGACATTCACCCAACTGAGCCACCCAAGTGCCCCTCTGCTCTCAGACTTCTTAAAAAGCTCCACAGCATATCAAAGTAATTGACACACAGTAAGTACACAGGCATGTGATTTGAGTTTTTGACCCTTCATTTGTCCAATGAAACCAAATGGGTCTAAAGACATAGAGACATGAGGCAAACTTGCACTGCACCCCTGCTGCATACTAGGTGAGAGCCCAGACATGCAGAGAACAAGACAAAAGTCTTGGCCTCAATTTGTTCATGGTTCAACTCAATCAGTGGGGTCTTGGAACCTCATCTTCTCACCATGCAGAATCAGATGCCCAAAGATCCCTAGAGTTCTTTGTCAGTCTGTCAAGATTATGATTCTGCAGATCAGGTAGAGGTGTAGCTGTAAAGAACCTCAGTGACTTTTTAGTGACTTTTTAGTTTGCCAGTAGAAGCAAAAGTCCCCTGAGGTGCCCATTTTCCATTTAAACGGGGAGTAAGCCATAAAGATAAATGCGCAAACTCCGCCCTTCCACAATAGCCCATCAGTCCCTCAACTCTGTGACTCCGAGTGGACATACCCATATTCAAGCAGACCAGAGATCAAAGCCACATTAGGCATGAGCTACTTTTTATTCATAGACTTACAGAATATATCGAATTAAGAGGCATGTTTTTTGTTAACTGTATTTACCCAAAAAGAGCTAAATATATATCCAGCCTTAAAATGCATCCATTGTAGCTTGCATACTGCAAAATTTGCTTTCATATACATATAAACTATTCTTATTTTACCTAAGTTATGCATCTAAGATACATAAAAATGGTACCAAATGGCATATTGGCTTATTTTATCATAGTTTTTATACATTCTTGATAGTCAAAGGGATTGATAGGGAATGCATAGTTTCCTACTAGAAAAAAAGGTAGATTCTGATACAAGTAATGGAATAACGTTAAGGATAAGAGCGTCTCGCTAGGTTTAGATCTCAGTAGTTTTACAACACAATTCTTATTTCAATTAGCATTACAATGGGCTCTCTTCGTTAATAATTGGCTGTTAATTTGCCTAGTCGGTCCACCCTCTACTTGCCTGGCTGAGGCAAAGGAAATCATGATGACCTTTTTTTCTTCCAGTTTATTTCTACTTTCCCAAAAGAGTTTCCTCCACAGCCATCTGCCCTGCTTTTCTGCCCATTCCCTTTAGACTGTCCTAAGTCTGGACCACCTTACTCACCGCGTCAACAACTAGATTATTGCATTCCACTCCAGAGCCCTGCTCAACAGAGTCTTTGGCCACTGCCTAATTAAAGAACTCTCTTCCAAAACTGCGGAGCAGAGGGGCTGACACCTTTTCGGAAGAATCAGGAAGCTGGCTAAAGAGATTTTCTTTAGATGGCATGCAAATAGACTCCCCTCCTGCAGACCTTCATCTCTCTTTCATTACACCCCGGGTCAGAGAAATTTCCATCGTGAGTGTTCCTGGCAGCCAAACCTCTAGCATCCCACGCTGATTTCTTTCCTAAAAATACACAGCCTCTCAATCCATGGGGAAGAAAAATGCAACACTGGCATTTTCAGCGTGCTCCCCGAAGGCTGATTATGACCCGGAGCAATTCATCATCACTCGTGCATTCGAGTTTTTAGTTGTTCCCTGATAGAACTCTCTTGTTTATCTTGTGGACGTTGTGACAAGAACCAGATGTGTCTCGACCTCAACATCGCCCCACCGCTATTGGGGGGTGGGGGGGGCGGAGTGTGTGGAGAAGCAACCCTGCCAGCTAGAAATCCTCTTTAGAACAGAACATTATCTGAAACTTCTGGAAGACTTTCAAGAGTGGGGCCTCACGAGTAATAGCGATCCCGTAGAGTTTAATTGTTAAAGGGACCAGCTGATGAGATGGTGTCTATTCAACACTATTTTCCTTCTGGCTACGCATATTTTGTTGTATTTTTTATTTTATCTCAAGGTGCTGCTATATTCTGAATCATGAGAAAAAGTCTTCATTTGGAAGGCAATGTCAGAGCGTCACAAAGAAAATACAAAGCCCGCTGTGCAGGACAAAGCTCTGCTTTTGCCTCACTACCGGATGATCTCGAGCAGGCGACTGACTTAGATTTTTTACGCCGGTTTCATTCTCCTGAAATTAGAATACCTGCCCACCAATAAACTGAACTATTTATGAACAAATGAGATGGACACAAATGTACACTGAAAGAACATAAAGCTTTGCCGAAATGCAGGGTGGGCTTATTATCCGTTGCCTGAGAACACCCTGCCGTTCACACCAAAGGCTCGTTTTTAGTCTTCGTGAGAGATCGGTTCCTGATCCCACGCTTTAAGGCTGTGTGGCGTGGCCACTTGGCTACGTGGGGGTGCTCAGCCCTAGCCACAGAGACTGTAAAGAAGAAACAAGCTAGCAAGAAGGCAACCCTTGGGTGAAGGGAAAGGAATGGACAAGAGCAGTCCTTCCCAGAACTCGCTCCACAGGGGATGGTCCCACGTGTCTCTCTGCCTTGGGTTTCTGTTGTTGTTGTTGGGGTTTTTTGGGGTTTTTTTGTTGTTGTTGTTGTTGTTTTGTCTTACATTATTACTGGGAAAAAGCTTCTTGCAGAAATTGTTTAAAACTGGAGGGATTCTTGGGATGGAGCAGTGAGATTAATGAAGCAAAGCTTCCACCACCTCGCGCCAAGAACATCTACGCTCCTTTAGCAAGCCGGCCAGAACAAATACCTCCTCCCTCGGCGCGGAGACTCTTGGAGGCTGCAGACTCTGATCTTGTCTAATTTCTTAAGAAGGAAAAGTGAACCTGGCTGCAGCCGCGTGGACTACCCGCCCTCTTGCCCTCACCTTGCCTCCAGTTCCTTAGATCTTTCTTCCACCGGCCAATGTCTCCCCTGGACTCGGCAAGCACCCCGTCCCCAGCCCCGCACCCCGGGCTTCCCGGTTTCCCAGATTCATTCTCGGCAATGGTGAATGCCGACGGTTTCTCCAGCCATTTCCCTCCTCAGAGAGGGGAAGCTGCGGAGCCGGTGTCCGGTTCCCCAGGGGCAGCCTTGCAAAAAGATGCCCCGGTTGCCTTCTCAGCAAGTGGCTGGACTCAGGAACATCATTTTGAGCTCGCACAAGTGCTAGGGCTGCCGAAATGTCCCCTACCTTGTTTGCCAAGGGCCTGTTTTTCCACCCAGGCTTGTCTGAGGGGTTCCATGTGCCAGAAAGAATTGCTTGCCCATCTCAACAGCCAGAGGAATAGCAGAGCTGTCCCACTTTCAGCCGCCGATGATGCGGGGATCTGGGCATTTGCAGTCAATGCAAATTAGCCAGGAAGGCAAAAGAACGTGGAAGGGTGATTTTGATGCTTCAAAAATGAGAACAAACCACTTTTTTCCTGTTTGGCTGGTGCCTAGTAGGAAAGCTTCAAGCAGGAACGCTATACTCCGTGTGGGTGACCGAGTTCTTTAAAATCCCCAGTGTCCTAGGCTGGAAGCCCTCAGTCTGCAGTCCCGAATGTAGCCAGCATTGAGGCTACTCATTGCCTTGATCTGCATCGCTTCAACCAGAAACAACACCGTGCTCAGATCTGCGGCAAAACATCTACCTACTCATGACTTGGCAAATGATCATTAACTCTCCAGTACAACATGATTGTGCTGGTCTGGGGGCTACCAGAGACGCTGTTGGGTGGCTCTTTGAGAGCCACTCCTAAAATCCACTTCAAGAGAACCAGCTAATTAGGCATCCACTGGGAAGCTTCCACAAAACCAGACCCCATGGGCTTCCCAATAATCCACACCAGAGAAGGCCAGTTTGAAATAGACCCTCTGGCCCCCTGAGCACAGACCTGGTCTGTGGGATGCAGTGTGTCTAGCTCCAAAGCTGGTCCCCAATGATCAGCCCAAGCCCGCCCCCGCCCCCCGCCCCAGCCTATTCAGGATGAGTCCCCCGCCAGTACGTGGTCCCACGTCAGGGTGTGAGCCCCAGGGGGCTCTCCTCAGCTAAACTACCGGGAAAGGAAGGGGCACCAGCGTCAGGAGCACCCTGGGTTCTGCAGTGTGGTGCCCCAGCCTGTCCGCATTGGCAGCGGGGGCAACAGCCCATCAACAAAGCAGGACGGATGAAGGAGTAGGGAGGAAGGCAGGGAGGCAGGAAGGTAGGCTGGTACTCAATGACTCGAAACAGGAAGTTGCCCAGAGGGCACAGACATGCACAAATCAAAGGGCCACCTCTAGGTTTCAAAGTATAGCGAGACTTGTGTAAAGTCCTCTTTGATCCCACAAAATCTTGCTTCAGCAATTCTACCGAACGCTCATCAGCTGGAAAGCCCTGTTCTATTGCTTTAAAGGATGGGATGAAAAGCACCGTTCAGTCTTTGGCCTGTCTGCTGGTTACCCACAAACTCAAAGAATGGGTTCAGGGAAGCAGCCGAGTCATGGAGGGCATCTAAAAGCAATATTGCTCCGGGCGCCACGAGGTCGGCTCTGAACCACAAGGAAGAGGGGAAACCGCCTTTGTCTCACTCATGGGCCTATGGCCCGTGCTGGGCCTGGAAGTGTGTCAGCAGAGTATTTTCTTTGTGGCGAAGGAAGCAATGACCAACGTTATTTTGTGAACACCCCCCATCACGAGCATCCGCCCGAGCCAATGAAACAGCCAACGTTCTGCTATGAAGGGGCATTCAGGAAACTGAAATGACTCAAAATAGCATTGCTGAGTGTTATCAGATTTTTAAATGAATCATCAGCAAATTTTTTCAGCTGACTTTGGCTTTAAGCATTCTTACCCCATAAGATTGCTAAAATGGAATGAGAAGGGCCCATAGTTTGGTCTTTTTTTTTTTTTTTTTTAATTTCATCATAAGAACTGTCCCATCTTATCCGATTTCCTCCTTCCTCATTAAAAAAAAGAAAAGAAAAGAAAAAGAAAAAAGCACATTACTTTCCTAGATGGTAAGAGTTAATACTCTACTCTTTTCTCAGAGATAACAGGCTTTAAGATGTCTTTTGAAATGGGAGAATGGACATGTCATGCAGTTAGCCAATAAATGCAATCCCTGATTGAAATGCGAGTTCTAAAATGTTGAAAACTTCTATTTCCCCAGTGCGTTTTTAATTGCGGAGCTCTGAACTTGGCCTTCTGTTTGCTTCTCAGGCCTCTCTTGTGAAAGCTAGTGCTACGTGTCTCTAAATTCACCAGTCACCCCTTCACAAACTTAAGTCAACGACTATATGTTCAAAAATCTTTGTTTTCCCTTTGAAACTGGATGCAAAAAAGAAATCTCTCCTGTCAGTGGAGACAGCTGTGAAGGAACGAGGTGCCTGCACATAAATCTCCTTGAATTTTTTGAATAGCTGCTTTTCTTTATCCCACTGGTAGATCTGGGAGAATGTATAGTCACTCCCCAGGGCCAGGTAGTGATTATCTTTAAAAGAAAAGGGCTGCAGGGTCATGGCCCCCCGGGATGGAAGAGCCTGGATCTCCACAAACTGCTTACTATTCCACCTCATGACCCTGGAGTCCCCGATGAAGCGGGTGAGGGAAAGGTAGAGGGCATTCTGCATCCTAAAGCTCTTCACGGCCAGTACATCCTCCATGTTGGGGATATCACTGTGGGGGACAAACTTCTTAGAGCTTTTATTCCACTGGAGGATGATGGGGACCTGGGAGCGGCTGGACAGAATCAGATGCGACTTCCCGTCTATGTCAACAAATTCTGCATCCGTGTCCCTGAACCACTCGTGCAGAGATTGGTAGGAGTAGAACCCTTTGCTGTTCCATTTATACACTGTGGACAGACCAGCTTTAGAGCTGTCTGCGATGATGAAGAACGTCTCGTCCTCAATCTGAAACAGCTCGATATCGTTGGGCTTTGAGATGCGAGAGACTTCGATGTCCTGGAATTTGACAAACTTGGTCCAGCTCTCATCGTATTTGTAGATGTGAGAGCCGCCGAAGAGCTGGGCCACCACCACGAAAACCTGGTCGTCGATGAGGATGGCCTTACAGCCCACAATGGACTGACCTGTGCCCCAAGAGAAACGAGAGGGCATTAGGGTACCGCAGGGAGAAATGTTCCTCCGTAGTGATATTGGAACCCTCGTGAGCTGGAAAATGGGGAAAGATGTAAAGAAATGTGAGAAAATGGGGCAGCTGATGCATGGAACAGCACGGTGGCTTCTCGACAGTCTGAACATAGAAATACCATATGATCCAGCAGTTCCACTTCCAGGTCCATACTCAAAAGTACAGAAAACAGGGTCTCTAAGAGATGTGCACACGCATGTTCATAACAGCATTATTCACAATAGCCAAAAGGTAGAAGCAACTCTAGTGTCCACTGATGGATGAATGGATAACCAAAATGTGGTGTAGACACACAATGGAACATTGCTCAGCCTTAAAAAGGAAGGAGATCCTCACACAGGACACATGACAGTATGGATGAACGTTGAGGGCATTATCGTAAGTGAAATAAAGGTAGTCACAAAAAGATAAATAATATCTGACTCCACTTACATGAGGTCCCTAAAGTAGTCAGATTCCGAGAGACAGAAAATAGAATGATGGGGGCCAGGGGCTGGGGGAGAATGGGGAGTTAGTGTTTAATGGATATAGAGTTTTAGTTTTTCAAGATGAAAAGAGTTGCGGAAATTGTTTGCACAACACCGTGAATGCACTTAACGCTACTGAACAGTACACTTAAAAATGGTTAAGATGGTAAGTTTTATGTTCTGCATATTTCCCCACAATTAAAACATTTTTAAAAACTTAAAAAACAAAATGTGTCTCCATTAAGGGCTGGTCTCCTGGCCTCTGGTATCTTTAGAGGCAAGAGTACTATTCAGGAAAGGCACCAACACCAAGGGAATTGTCTCCATGTTATTCAAAAAAGTATTTCCCAACTCCGGACAGTGGAATGAGACAAATGGGCTTCTGTTCGGGGCATGGGGGTAAGGGAGGGTAAAAAGGTAGGAGTCAGGTCTCAGAGACAGGAGGAAAAGAATGTAATGAAGACATTTGGCTCCTTCTGATTTCTGGAGCCAAAGGAAGCTGAACGGAGGCAGAGACGAAACAGAGGAGTGTTAAGCCCTCTGTCAAAATTACTTGTACTGCAAAGTTGAAATAATACTTAATGTCTTGATATATTTCCTTAATCGTTACTCTACACACATACTCAAATGTGTTTTTTAAAAATAAATTTGGGGGTGGGCGCCTGGGTGGCTCAGTTGGTTAAGCGACTGCCTTCGGCTCAGGTCATGATCC